GATACCAAGGGCTCAAGTATAAAGCAAATGTTTTGAGAATGATGATGGCAACAAATGTACAAATGCGCTTGACACAATGGATGTATGTATGGACTGTGATAAAGGTTGTATAAGCCCCCAATAAAAATGATTTTTTTTAAAGTGTTTTTTTGAACATAGACTGGCTAAAGTGAATGGAAGAAATGATGAAATAAGAGCTGATTGTGCACGGGTTTGGATTTGAGGCAGGTCTGATCCCGTGGGCCTCTCACAGTGTCCTATGCAAAAGCCAACTCATCCTGAACCATTGCCTGGCTTTACCCCGCGGGTTTCAGGCACTGAAGTGGGCTGCACAGTGGGGGGTGGGTGGGGGGGAGTTGATCAGAAGATCTGAAAGGAAAGCTTGAGAAGACCAAATTTTACAGTTAAATGTGCCGAGACCTAGAGTTAGAAAGCTCTGCACATCTCAAACTGATAGGAATGGGAAAATATTCAAGCTTTGAGTTGAAGTTTGAAGGATTACTTATGCAACGTATTAAATGGTGCTGGAAACATCCCAGAAAGATGGAAGCATGCCTGCTTTGGCTGCACACACACTGACGGAATGCTGTAGAGATGAGTTTGCCCCTGCACACAGAGAACGCACTTCATGAAGTGTTCCCGGCTTTTATGTGGGCCAGACGATTATGTTTCTTATTTATTAAAAGTAGAAGAATTGACTAATTTTGCTATCAAAAAAGAGAAGGCATACACAGAGCACTGTACTGAAAGGAACAAGTTGGTGTTCAAGCATTTTGAGAGGTCGCATAAGCTTATGATCAAACTGATGGTGCTAATAGAAGTCCAAGCTGCACTGGGGATTGGCAGAACACCAATCAGAATGTTTTGAGACACTAATGTTGAAATGGGAGCACTCCCTACTTGATGCCACACTTATGCTTATTCTAAAGAAAGGTCATCCCAAAGAATGCTAAAATCATTGAATAATATCATAATATCACATGCAAGTCCAATTCACTAAAGATTATTCAAATTCAGTTGCTACATTATAGTGACAAGTTGCTGCCAGAAATTCAAGCTAGATTCAGAAGAGGCCCTGAAACAAGAGATATTACTGCTGATGTCAGACGGATCTTGGCTTAAATCAAAGAATACCAGAAAGATGTTATTTGTGTTTTATAGCTTGTGCTATGGCCTTCAAAGTTTTAGAGGGCAGACTTTTGAAGTATAACATAACAAGCTATGTATACACTTTCAAAGAACTGGAATTCTCGAACACTTCATTGTGCTCATGTGGAACCTGTATAAAGACCTAGAGACAGTTGTTTTGAAGAGAACAAGGGAATATTACATGGTTTAATATTAGGAAAGGTGTTCATCAGGATTGATCCTTTCACCATATTTATTCTTAGCAAATAACCTGAGAAATCAGGATTAGAGTGAGGCTCATTAAAAATTGGTGCTATGCAGATGATACAATCTTGCTGAAAGCAAAGAGGATCTAAGGCCCCTAGTGACGAAGATTAACTACTACAACTTTCAGTATGAAGTACAGCTTCATGTAAAGCAAAAAAAATCAACAAACAACATCATAATTGAAGTTGTCAAGAATTTTATTTTTCAATACAGGGAATCCAGGACGGATGAGCCCTACAGGACCAGTGGTGTGAGTGGCAAAACAGGGAGGGTAAAGGGAGAATGGGTAGGAAAGAGGGAACCGATTACATGGAACCGTGTGTGACCTCCTCCCTGGGGGACAGACAACCAAAAAGTGGATGAAGGGAGACGTCGGACAGGGCAAGATATGACAAAATACCCATTTATAAACTATCAAGGGCTCATGCGGGAGGGGGGGAGTGGGGTGGGAGGGGAAAAATGAGGACCTAATGTCGGGGGTTTAAATGGAGAGAAAATGTTTTGAGAAACGATGTACAAATGCGCTTTACACAATTGATGTGTGTATGGATTGGGATAACAGTTGTATGAGCCCCTAATAAAATGTTAAAAAAGAGAAAGAAAAAAAAAAGAATTTTATTTTTCAAGGGAATAAAGAGGAGCTGACATCAAAGGGCTCAAGTGGAAGGAAAATGTTTGGAAGAGGATGGCGGCAGCATCTGTACAAGTTCACTGATACAACTGATTCATGGATTGTCATAATGTCTGTAAGTGCCCCCGATCAAATGATCAATTAAAAAAAAAGCATTTTCTTTTTCTTGGATCCGTGATCCATTCTCAGGAAAGCAGCAGTCAAACTGCAGAAATGAAACTGCATCTTGTGTTGGGCACATCGCGTGCAAAGATCTGATGAAAATGCTCAGGAGCAAAGCTGTCACTTTGCGGTCTCAGGTGCACCTGACTCTTGGACCTCAAAAAAGCCCGGCCATTTTCAATAATCTTATACTTAGGAGCAAGTTGGATGAGGAATGTGGAAGACAGGAGAAAATTATGGTGTTGGAAACAATATTGAAATATCCACTGACTACCAGAAGAACCAACAAATCTGTCTTGGGAGAAGTACCAACAGAAGTCTCCTGACAGAGAGGATGGCAAGACTTAGTCCTCTGCGATTTTACATGTTATTGGAGAGACCACTTTCAAGATTAGAGGATTCGCTTTTGGAGAAGAATAAGATGGAGGTGAGGTAGGTCAGAGACAAAAAGAAAGGGCCTCAATGCACGGATTGACACAACAGTTGCAACAATGGTCTCAAACATGACAACAATTGTGGCAGTGATGCACCAGGCAGCGTCTCCTTCCACTGTGCACAGGGTCGCTTTGGCGTGGAACTGCCTTGACAGCACCTGAAACCACATAGTTTCAAACCTAGCTGCACACCTAGGGGGTAAGTATCCTTCTGCTTTCAAATGACAAAACTGAGGAAATTCAAAGTGGTTCAGTGATTTGTTCAGGGCCACACAGCCTATCAGGGACAAACCTAATTGTATGTGATGGGTAAATCTGCGCCCATTGGTATGAGATTGGTTCTCTCTTTGGTAGCACGCGGTGGCTGCTGCTGACTGCAGAGGAAATAGTGCACAGGCTTGCTTTAATGAAAAGAATAATTAATGCTGATTTATGTTTGTTGAGCACCTACTCTCCACAAGACACTGTGAAAAGCATCTTATATTCATTAGCACATGAAATTATTGAACTATTCCTAGATTTTAAAAAAAGGGAATATAAGGGAAGTTAAGTAACGTGGTCAACATCACTTAGCTCTTAAGTGGTAGGACCAGATGGACACTCCTGAGGTCTGATGCTTTACCTGGATTCCCTTCATGGCTGCTTCCTTGATGGTAGAGTTCACAAAAGAGTCTCAGCCACCAAGAGGCTCTAAATGAGCAAATAACCATCCTCGCCCCGATACAGCTGCCTTCGTTCTTCCTCTTCAGTCTGGGTTCCTGAGCAAGTGTCATTTTCCTCCGGACTCTTTTGGACATACGATACAGAAGTTCTGGGCTTTCTCTTCCCTCTTCTGAGTTATGCAAGTTGACAGTGATTGGAAAGTACTTAGGGTGTCACAGGAGAATTTGACACTTTTTTCTATCTTTAGAATGCTGTCAAACCGCATTCAAACACCTTCAATCACCAGAAATTCAGCGTGGGTTCTTCTACTGTCGTCTGTCCATAGGCAAAGGGTTGCTGAAAATAAGACACAGAGAAGTTCAAGTTGAGATGCTGAGGAGGTCTCAGGTGCAAAGCCTTTGCAAGGATTCTGAAAAATCAGGCTACAAATGGAGGGGGAAATGGCTGAGGATTGTGAAAAAGAAAGAGGTCCCCTGAAATGGAAGCTGGGTGGAGAACTTCAGCGAGCACAGTTTGGTCCAGTGCATCCCTTTGCACTCAGTCACTTTGAATAAACAATGGCGCCATCACAGCAGCACCAGTCTTTATTATATTCTTTTGTATCACAGCACGGGGCATCAGATGGCAGTGAATATCAAGTTCATTATTTCATGCTTTTCAATTTTGGTTAAAATTTGAGCCTTGCCCCATTTCTAGCAAATCCCCTGCTTTCAGGGTTGTTGACTTCTGCCTCAGATATTCTGTGGCTTGGCCTGGGTTCCATTTGTGGAATGAACTGGCCCGGTTCCCTTCACCCTCTCAGTTGATTTGGGTTGGGATTAGTGGGCTATGGCTTCATTCCCTATGATTTTGGGTTGAACACGATTGGGCTTGGGGGAGAACCTAGGACTCATTTCTTATCCCAAACCCCCAAGATCCCTTTGCCAGTTACAATTCATATTGATCCTATAGGACAGGGTGGAACTATCCATCAGGTTTCTAGGTGACCTCCATGGAAGCAGAGCTGCTCTTAGGTCCCAAATGGTGAACTCTCCTTTGGGTTAGCAGTGAAACACTTAACCCTGGCCTCACCAAGGCTTCTTTGCCCCTATACACCCCCTCCACCTCCCCACCACCAAATTTCCAGGTTCTAGTACCATGGTTTCAACTTCTGCCAAGTGGTCAAACTCTTAAAACTATGCTTCAACATTTAATATAGAAAGATAGTAGGTGTTCTTAGGTATTGAAAGAATAGCTTTCAGTTTTGCGTTAATCTTAGAATTTGATATGAAAAATATTTTTATTTCAGTTTCCTTATTTTTCTTTCTATCCAGGCTATTCTTATATAATAATTAGCTATTCGTGTCATACATATTATGTGTTACTAGGTTTCTTATCAAAAAGGGGTTAAAAGCAAATTTGTGTAATATTTCACAGCATATTTTAATTTACAATAAGTTCTTAATGAAAACTAAGATATACTGACTAATTTTAAGGTTTGCAGGTTGGAAAGAATAGCAAATCAGGCATCAGCAGACGTGGACAGAGTCCCTGCTAATAGGAAGTTTGTTGGTTGGAATGCCTTCAGAGGCACCTCAGAAGGAAGGGTTGACAATCTATGTGAGAAAAGGCAGCCGCTGGAAACCCTGTGGGGTCCAGCTCCTCTCTGATACACAGAGGCTCACGTGAGTTGGAATCGACTCATTGGCAACGACTTAGCTTTGTGATAGGAAGCCAATCCCTTCGTCCCTTCATGCTTTGGCTTCCTCGACTGCGAGATAATCAGTAAGAGCTGGAGGGTGGAGAATGCGAAGCTGCACTAGCTGATCCCTATGGATCTTCCCAGCCATGATTATTTTTGTTATGGAAGTGGCCTTGACTTCCAGAAATATCCCTTGATGTCATCATCAGAGGCAGTGACTTGACTTTATGCTCTTAGGTTTTAACCTTCTAAAACAAAGCTGTGGCCTTATTTTTAAGCCAGGACAGTAATCTTTGAGATGAAGTCAGACGCCAGTATTCCATTTCAGACTGATCGCTGTGTGATACCTGGATGAAACGGTTTCCACGGAT